CTCACCCCCTCTCTCTCCCTCCTCTCTCTCTCTCTCTCTCTCTCTCTCTCTCTCTCTCTCTCTCTCTCTCTCTCCTCTCTCTCTCTCCCTCCCTCTCTCTCTCTCTCTCTCTCTCTCTCCCTCTCTCTCCTCTCTCTCTCTCTCTCTCTCCTCTCTCTCTCTCTCTCTCTCCTCTCTCTCTCTCTCTCTCTCTCTCCATCCCGCGTTCTGCCCAACAATCGTCTCTCGCTCTGGCATCTCCCACCTCACGCCTTCCTCTGGTACCAGGTTTTCATGCCCCTCGGCATCTGCTTTGCCTCCCTCCGTTTTCTTCGCCTCTCATGTCTTTCCATTCCATTCTGTCCTCTGCCTCCTCTTGTTTCCGCCGGTTCTACTCTTGCCCAAGCGTGCCTTCTCCCGTCGCTTCCCTCTATTATTTCCTTTTTCCTCTCTTGCCTCATCTAGCTCTTCCGCCTCGTGCGCCTTGCTGTTTCTACGACCGCCCTCCGCTTCCTAAATCTACTGACCTCTTCTGTTTTATTTCGCAACCTTTTGTCTTTTTTCCACTTTATTCCTTTCCGTTCCAAACCCACTGCTTCCTAGACAGACCATTTATATTCTGTCCGTCTCCGGGACTCTACATCTCATGAACTATGCAACTAGCAATATCCCCACCTCACGGCCCTGCCAACGTTACCTTCGCTTTTCACCTTCCAAGTCCGAAAAATATGCGCCCCGACAGCCAGCAGTACCCACCAGCGCTGCAGGCACTTCCGGCCTGTCTCAATGTTGACGTAATCATGTCCGGACCCGCTGCTACTGCTTCGAAAACCCACGCTGGCCCACATTTGTTTTCTGCCCCACCGACTCCGCCACCTCCTTCCTGCCCTTGTTAACATCTCACCGCCCCTGAATGACTCTTGCCGCCTCTGAATGTCGACGGTTTGTGTTCTGAGAGTCCTAATCGCTGGGTTTCCGATGCATGCGCCCTGAGTGCCTTTGCATGTGAGTGACCCATCGAATAAGTTTTGGATGTCCTAAAAAATTCGCCCCAAAACATAGCGAGTGTGGAAGATGCCTCAGTACACAAGGGGGATATATCTAGAAGCGGCCTGGGAACTTGGCTTGCCGACGTTAGGAGGCTTAAAGGTGAGGCTAGAGATTAATTACAGCTGGTTGAATTGACGGTCGGTGAATTCTGCCGATACAATCGCCTGCAATCAGGACATGCAGCGCTGGGAACAAGATGTTATGATGTCGTCCGAAGACAACGAATGAGCCGCGGCACATAATTTACGAGGCAATCAAACTGAAAGACCAAATGCGATACGGGATTTTGGAAATGTGAAGAACTCAGCATATTGTTCGCTTCAACTGGCGCGTAAAGAATCAAGGTCTTTCACGGATCGTTTCTCAAGGCATCCAGCATATGAAATATTTCGTAACTTGTTCATAATTGACTTCCTTTCTGCCGTCGTTTCTCTGTCCCGTTTCCTACGCTTTTTCCTCTGCAATCTTGTGTTTGTGCAAAAAAGCATTCTCGATCCTTCAGCTCCGCACCAAACGTAAAAGCCCGTTCGTCTCTATGGACCTTTGCAGCATGTCATTGAAAATCCGCCAGCGCCCAGCAGGCGACCTGGCTGACGGCGTTTGGCTGCTCCTGGGGGCTGTTTCACACCTTTCGCGTGGTCGGCTGGTGTCGGATGGTGCGGGGGACGGCTGCCTGACAGGTGACGGGTACCGGCGCCGCTCCCTGCCTCATCGGTCCCCGTCTGAACGAGACAGGCGAGCGCGGTGCAGCACTGGCCAGACGGGCCCTGGTCAGTGGCGGCGGCAGTGGCGGCCGGGGTCGGTGGACGGGACGGCGGCCAGTCAGGCCAGCCACCAGAGATGTCAGACTGGCAGACAAGTGGCAGCATGCATATTATTGACCGGGTCCATTCGGATAGTTCTCGTTATTGCCGTAGCCGAAGAACTTGATAGGTCTGTCTGTGCACATTCTCTCTTGATCCCCTGCACATGAATCCGATCGCTCGCGCTTCTAGAGGCGGACGCCTTTGAACAACGAAAGCCCTGTGAGGAAAATTCAGCTTTACTACGCTTAGATTAACAGAATCTGACCATTTCTACAAGTTCGCACACTGCACTATACCCTCCACCGCAAGGACGCCATTTCGCCAAGTGAGTTAGAAGCTGAGCAATGAAAAATGGTGCCATCTACCCCCCAAACTGGTCAACAAATGGGGCTCTCCCGGGATTTTGCCCACTTCCTTCCTAAAGCCAGTGAGGAAGGGGAGGGTGGAGACCCTCTCCCAGCTGAAAAGAAAACTACAGCCTTGCTGCGGGTCCCTCCATTCTGCCACGTCCACCCGCCGTCCTGGCAATGCCTGCCCGGCCTGCTGCAACCCCCGCAGCGGCCGAGGATGCCGGCTGGAGCCGCGGCCGCCACCGTCGCCGCGTAGTGCACCGGCAGCGGCCGAGGATGCCGGCTGGAGCTGCGGACGCCACCGTCGCCGCGTAGTGCACCGGCTCTGATGGCACGCGCCGATGTGATATGCATCGGCAGAAAAACCACTGGCGATGGCCATCTTTACGAGCGGCGCGGGCTGCACGGCATGACGCCGGGATTACATGCCGACCGGCTCAGACGCGCCCTGTACGGCGAGCCGCGTCCGCCGCTGTTGTGGCGACAGGCTCGCCGACTGGTTTGACTTGCCACATCGCGCGGGCACGTGCTGGCCGACGTCGGAAGAGAGCGGCTGCCGCAGAAGCTGCCGGGCCGGTCGGCGCTGATTCACGTTGGAGAACCGGTCAAAATATTTGCAGTTTCTCCCGATGCATGCGTGAGAGATCTCTCAGAGGGGGCAAAGAGGCTCTGCTCATGCAGCCCGTGAGGTGGTCACTTAGATGAGACGGAAGGTTCAGAGAGGAGTGGCGTAGATTGGCTGGCGCTCTGCCGCATATTCCGACTGTACCGAAGCAAAGCGCCAGCCATCGCTCCCGTGGATCAGATGGCGTAGATCGACTGGCGCTCTGCCGCGTACTGTTCCCGACTGTACTGGACCGGAGTGCTGGTCATCGCTCCCGTGGATCAGATGGCGTAGATCGGCTGGCGCTCCGCCGCGTACTGTTCCCGACTGTACCGGACCGGAGCGCTGGCCATGGCTCCCGTGGACCAGATGGCGTAGATCGGCTGGCGCTCCGCCGCGTACTGTTCCCGACTGTACCGGGGAGCAGAGCGCCAGCCATCGCTCCCGTGGATCAGATGACGTAGATCGGCTGGCGCTCCGCCGCGTACTGTTCCCGACTGTACCGGGGAGCAGAGCGCCAGCCATCGCTCCGGTGGATCAGATTGACAGGACAGCCTTGTAGCAGAGCAGAGTGGTCATGTCAGGCGGGATCAGTAGCACGCGGCTGGCCAGCGGAGCACCACGCTGGCCGGCCTGAGTCGCCAGGCGTCTCGCGTCCAGTCTGTCCCGCCAGTCACACCGTCTGCGTCTGTGTCCCAGTCCCAGTCAGCCCTATGGTCTGCATGCAGGTCGCCACAGACCGCCCGTCGGCTATCGCCTCTTACAGCTACACCGGACAGGCGGTGCACGAGATGAAAAGAGCCCCGCCAGCGGTGATTGACGTGCTTGCACCGAGTGAAATGATGGTGAAAATCACTATTGGTATTGCATGAGTGAGGTCCGCCGCAATTAGCAAGAAAGAGATACTTAATGAAACAGCGACTATGAGCCTAGAGCGTTAGTGCTATTTGCTGTGTAACCCAAGTGCAGAGGATAATAAAATTGGGAACTTATGTCTTCATAAAATCGGTGTTAAATCCCACTTAATTAGACCGGTCTGGCCATGACTGTGTCGGCCCGAAAGATCTCAGCTAATAATAGGATCAGTATTTTCAGCAAACCGTGCGCAATGCACATATAGTGCGGAAAATCATTATTTATATTTCATATTTTACGATGTGGCAAGCTTGCAAATGGCGGCTCCAGCGCCCGGCGCTGAATCACTCTGGAGATATATTTCGGTTACGGTACCCGTTGTATGTCTCCGCAGACTTCTGCATCCAATTATAGAAGAATTCATTGCAAGTTTGGCCGTAAAACAGGCTCGGTTTTCAGTGATAGTGATTCGTTCTGCTATAAAAGGGCCCGCTCCCGTTGGCATACACGCGATTAGTGATGCCATTAATGTCAACAGTAATCACTGTTGCCGGGGCAGGGAACGACTTATAAGGCCACTCACGCGAGGCATGTTTTGAAAGCAGAATATTGATAAATGAATTATCTAAACTCCTCTAACGTGCACAGCTGCTAAGCACGGCCGACCCTTATCTTGTGTTTCGTCCTATCGTAACTCTGACGGCGGCAGTTCATCTGTATGGTACTGGTGCCTCGGCCGGCGTATTTATCTCCGGTGAGATTCATCGCCGAGCGGCTGCCTGCAGTGTGCGGCGCCACGCTCTGCCGGCTGAGCCGCTGGCCTGGCCAGGTGGTGCCGGGCGCGGCCCCTGCCCGCACTCGCCGCCGAGACCGCTGGCCCCTGCCCGCACCCACCGCCGAGACCGCTGGCCCCTGCCCACACCCGCCGCCGAGACCGCTCACCCGCGCCACGCGCCTCCTTATCGCCGCCGAGCATGACCCGCCAGCGCACCGTGCATCATCCGGGCGCGTTTATTTTCCACGCCTGTTGAGTGGCTGATGCTCTGTGACAGGCCGAACGCCGTCTCGGCGCTGCTGTCGCGTGCTGATTGGACACGGTGCGGCGGGATGACGGCTGACCGTGCCGACAGTCCTGGCGCCCACGCACCAGCCGCTCGCCTGGAAGCCTGGAGCGAATGTGTAGCCGCCCTCGCTTAGTGCGTGCTTGGTAGGGTTCGACCGACGCATTGACCTCAGTAGCCTCGATACAGCCCCTGTGTGGACGTGTGGACCTCACCTGGTCCCGCTGGTCGCCACGCCGGCCCCTGCCTGGCCTGTGGCCCGCGAGCTTTTGTAACCGTCACCCCCTGTCGGCAGGTATGGCCACGGTACACCGCAGGACTACCATCTGGCTGCAGCCGGGTACGTAGCCCAGTGCACCACCGTTCTCAGTGTTGCCCTCTGTCAGGCGGTGGACATGGCGAGCCGTGCAGCAGCGGCACACGTAATTGCAGCCAGTTCGGCCGGCTTCTGGCGCTGCCAGCAGCTCATGATTCAGCAATGTGACATCAGGAATTACATAAAATGTTCATTATGCTATTAGGCTATTAAAGCTATTTCCGCATCTCGAGACAAGGGAGCGTTTTTAAAGGAAGTCTTCAGCCTTAAGGACTAATCTCTTGCCGCATTCCTGACCGCCGCTAACAATTTATTCGAGATTTATCAACTCATAAATAAGTTGAATGGCAAGAGAGCATCTCTACCCAGATAAGCGACGCCGCTCATTTGTCCGTACCCAGATCAGCGCCCGCCCGCAGACCATGGGTTTCCCTCAGCGGCATGGACGCCTGTAAAGTTTCCTTCAGCAGGATCTCATAGCTTTGCAGACCCGGAGAAAGTCTGCTGTAGTCTATGGCGTGCATGCCGTACATACAGCGCTCTGGGGCGTGTTTGACGGTTGGCGTTCACCGTTCGCCCGTGAGAGCGGACACAGGTGTGCGCCAGGCGCCAGAGCGCAGGGTCCCCTGGCGCCTGGCCGCTGACGACCGGTGGTGTGGCCTCACGCCCGGTGGTGTGGTCAGACGCCCGATGGTGTGGTCAAACGTCCGTTGGTGTGGTCTGACGTCCGGTGGTGTGGCCTGACGCCCAGCGGTGTGGTCTGGCGCTCGTTGGTGTGGTCAGACGCCCGATGATGTGGCCTGACGCCCGGTGGTGTGGCCTGGTGCCCGGTGGTGTAGCCTAGCGCCGGGCGGTGTGGCTTGGTGCCCGGTGGTGTAGCCTGGCATCCGGTGGCATGGCCTGGTGCCAGGTGGCGTGGCCTAGCGCCTTGTCGCTGACGCCCGGTGGCACCTGAAATACCGCGGCGGAACGGCTAGGGGACCGTTTACGGTCTCTGGCCATGCAGCCGACCACAAAAGCAATCATTACTGCCACGCTAAACGACTAGCGAATCGTAAAGTGACCAATGGTTAATTCAATTTTATTGGTGCATGGTTCACGACCTGTCTGGCCGCCCGGAGCGGTGCCCGCCGAGCTAACCTTTCTGGCCGCTTGGAGTGGTGCCCGCCGAGCTGACCTTTCTGGCCGCCCGGAGCGGTGCCCGCCGAGTTGAACTTTCTGGCCGCCCGGAGCGGTGCCCGCCGAGTTGAGCTTTCTGGCCGCCCGGAGCAGTGCTCGCCGAGTTGAACTTTCTGGCCGCTTGGAGTGGTGCCCGCCGAGTTGAGCTTTCTGACCGCCCGGAGCGGTGCCCGCCGAGTTGAGCTTTCTGACCGCCCGGAGCGGTGCCCGCCGAGTTGAACTTTCTGGCCGCCCGGAGCGGTGCCCGCTGGGCTGACCTGGTTGACCGCTGAGAGTGGTGCCCGCCGGGTTGGCCTGACAGGCTGCGGGGAGTGGCGCCCGTCGAGCTGACCTGGCTGTCCGCGGGGAGCGGTGTCCGTCGAGCTGATCTGGCTGACCGTCAGATCAGCCAGTTTGCCAGCCATTGTAAGCTGTGCTCCTCGCAATGAAGGGTCTCATTTCTGCTACCGGCAGCCCAGAAACATTGCATCCACGCGAGATCGTGCAATGACACTTGCGTTTACAAGCGGGTCCAACTGCAAAATATTTTTTTATGGAGCGCTGACAGCATAGCTTTAAGGCATTAGATGCCAGCAAGTTCGGTAGCCCTCCCGCATACTTCGCCCAAACTGGCTGTGTTTCGCCATAGACATGCCACACAGCAAGCTCACATCCAATCAGCTGGACGGGAAGCTGGGCGGTCTCGGGGCGTGTTTCACAGTCCATGCGATCCAATGCTTCATTCTTCAGCGTCAGTTCAGTCACAATGTTGCATTGGATGTCGGATACAGTCTGCAGGGGACAAAAGGATTAAATTCGTTCACTGTATGCTGGCCGAGGCATGTGTGGCCTGACGCGAGCACGGTGTTAGATGTGTGCTGGCTGACGGCAGCCACTTGCGTGAGATGGGCACTGGCTGACGGCAGCCACGTGCGTGAGATGAGCACTGGCTGACGGAGGCTGCGTGCGTGAATGAACACTGGTTGACGGCAGCCGCGTGAGTGAGATGTGTACTGACTGACGGCAGCCGCGTGGGTGAGGTGCATACTGGCTGACGGCAGCCGCGTGAGTGAGATGTGTACTGGCTGATGGCAGCCGCGTGAGTGAGATGCATACTGGCTGACGGCAGCCGCGTGGGTGAGGTGCATACTGGCTGACGGCAGCCACGTGCGTGAGATGAGCACTGGCTGACGGCAGCCACGTGGGTGAGATGCATACTGGCTGGCGGCAGCCACGTGCGTGAGATGAGCACTGGCTGACGGCAGCCACGTGGGTGAGATGCATACTGGCTGACGGCAGCCACGTGCGTGAGATGAGCACTGGCTGACGGCAGCCGCGTGAGTGAGATGCATACTGGCTGACGGCAAACCCTCGTGTAAGACGAGTAGTGGTTGTACTACCGGCACGATTTGGATGGGTGCTCCCAATGTTTGTGGGTTGTGCGCATGGACTACTCCCTGTCCCTGGCACGGTGACATTGGGGTCTCATGATGCGATAAACTCGCGATTTGGCTTCGGAACTTGATCGCGGCCATACCTGAAGCCCCGCATAATTTCTAGGAAATGCATCTCATGCAATTTTGCAGGCACAGTTGCGGTGTTGTTGGTGGTGAAGCGACTTTGCGCCTGTGGGCAGCGTACCATGCCTGCGTCCGTGTCAGGCAGGACCGCTGGCCGCCGGAGCCGCCGCCCCGCCGCGTGCTGCCGGGCAGTGCTCGGCGTGCCCGACACCGGCACGCTAATACTGCCGCGTCACACACCATTTAGGCGCAGGAGCCAAAACAATGCTGCTCCATATCGCGGCGGCGCGCTCTCGGCGCCGCATTGTTGCCGGCCGCCCCCTGATCACGGCATTGTTTCTGCGTCAGTTGGCCGATCCGCGCCTGCCACGCCCGCCCGTGACGCGCTGCGCCTGTACGACACGAGAGCGGGCGGCGAGGGAGGCCGCTCCTGGCCTCCCTGTCGGCAGGCGAGCTAGCCGAGACAAGCGGGCGGGCGGCGAGGGAGGCCGCTCCTGGTCTCCCTGTCGGCAGGCGAGACAGCCGAGACAAGCGGGCGGGCGGCGGGGGAGGCCACTCCTGGCCTCCCTGTCGGCAGGCGAGACAGCCAAGACAAGCGGGCGGGTGGCGAGGGAGGCCGCTCCTGGCCTCCCTGTCGGAAGTCCAGACAGCCGAGACAAGCGGGCGGGTGGCGAGAGAGGCCGTTCCTGGCCTCCCCTGTCGGAAGTTCAGACAACCGAGACAAGCGGCGCCACTCTGATGGCCAGTAAACACACTTCTTCCGTTAGGAATATAGTCCTTTAACAGTTAACGAGCGTTTACTATCGTTCGTAACAATAACGAAAAAACGCTAATCACCCTACAATCTCCACCAACACGAGCGCACTCGTCCGCTGATGAACGCGTCAGCTGTGGCGCACCGAAGCACATGTGCGGAAACCAAACGCAAGCGGCGGGGGAGGGGGGGGGGGGGGGCAGAGAGCGGCGGACTGGCCGGCGCCGGCGCCCGTGCCGCGGCAGGCCATCACAAGCTATTCAACCGGCCACAAACAACCGCGCCGTCTTAATAAACCACGCCGGGCCGCCCAGTCGTGCGGCTTAAATCAGTTTCAATTATGGCGGACCGCGTTCGGGACAGGTCGGCGGCCGTCTGCTCGGAGCTGGTGATGGTGTTGGCGCTCATCTCGGCCTCCGTCTGCCCGGAGCTGGTGCTGGCGCTGACGCTCAGCTCGGCTGCCGTCTGCTCGAAGCTGGTGCTGGCGCTGACGCTCAGCTCGACGGGCCGTCCGCTCGGAGATGGTGATGGTGTTGGCGCTCAGCTCGGCGGCCGGTCTGCTCGGAACTGGTGATGGTGCTGGCGCTGACGCTCATCCCGGCGGCCGTCTACCCGAAGCTAGTGCTGGTGCTGGTGCTGGTGCTGGTGCTGGTGCTCAGCTTGACAGCCGTCTGCCCGGATCTGATGCTGGTGCTGGAGCTTAGGTAGAACCGCTGCCTGCTCGGAGCTGGCGCTGGCGCTGGCTCAGCTCGGCGGCCGTGCAGCGGGCCGCGGCGCACCTCTGACGGGCCGCCAGGCGTCCGGCTGCCTTTGTCGGCCGCGGTCCCCGCCCAGCGCGCTGCACATTGTCGGCGCCAAGTGTACTTTGGCCGCGCAATGTCCCGCAATTCCGCCGTTTGCATGACAATTATTGTTAGATTGCAGTGGTGCCCTTTGACCCGGCTTTTCATTAGTGAGCACCAGACTGATCGCGCCTTTGAAGGCAGCTCCGCCTTTCTGAATTGATATACAATTGAATGCGGCAACCGATGCCATTCTGCGGCGCCTGGTGCCGAACCAAGCGCCCTCGTGATAGCCGAGGTCAAAGTTGGTGTCAGGGCTCTGCTGCCCCCCCCCCCCCCCCGCTGGAGACCCGCTGGTATAAGCCGCGGGCCCGGGTGGCGGTCCGCTCCGGCCGACGGCTGCCCCCCTAGAGATCCGGTAGTGTGCGTCACGGGCTCGGTGCCGGTCCGCTCCGACCGACGGCTGCTGCCCTAGAGATCCGGTAGTGTACGTCAAGGGCTCGGTGGCGGTCCGCTCTAGCGTCACATCTGTGGGCAGCGACTGGGGTCATGCCTCGGGCGCAGCAGCGGCCATCTGGCATCCATTTCAACCCACCAGTCGAACAGCATGTTGCCGAACCATCAGACATTGCAAAGGCTGTCAATGGTTCCTTTGCCCGACAGATTCTGTGATAAGTAGTGCAGGGGTAGGTTCGTTCTACTCTATTAATGGTTCCTTTGCCCTGCAGCGTCTGCGAGAAACGCTGCGGATGTATGTTCGCACTACTCTGTCAATGGTTCCTTTCCCTGACACCATCTGCAAAGAACGCC